GACACACCAATGTCAGGTCATCTCGGCATCCACAAGACATACCACAAGATTATGTCACACTTCTTCTGGCCACGTTTGAAGAAAGATGTCATCCAGTACTGCCGATCCTGTCATGCCTGTCAGATGGTTGGCAAGCCAAATCAAAAGATCCCTGTTGCTCCTCTGAAGCCGATTCCAGCCTTTGAAGAACCTTTCAGCAGAGTACTTATTGACTGTGTTGGTCCTCTCCCAAGGACAAAAGCTGGCAACCAATACCTGTTGACCATTATGTGTGCTTCAACTCGTTTTCCTGAGGCTATTCCTCTAAGGAACATAAAAGCATCGAACATTGTAAAGGCCTTGATCAAGTTCTTTACTCTATTTGGTCTACCAAAGTCCATCCAATCGGACCAAGGAACGAATTTCACGGCCAATCTTTTCAAGCAAGTCATGACTCAGTTGGGCATCAAACACTGCATGTCGAGTGCGTATCATGCCGAGTCGCAAGGCGCTCTTGAGCGATTCCATCAGACTCTCAAGAACATGATCCGAACCTATTGCTTTGAGCACGAAAAAGACTGGGACGAAGGAATCCACATGCTGCTGTTTGCAACCCGTGAATCCGTCCAGGAATCGTTGGGATTCAGCCCTTTTGACTTAGTCTTTGGCCATTCGGTGCGCGGTCCCTTGAAATGTATAAAAGAGACTTTGTTGTCACCAACAGCCACTGAAGGACTTTTAGACTATGTAAGTAAGTTTAAAACTAGACTTTATGATGCTTGTGTTCTGGCCAAAAATAACTTACAAAACACCCAATCCAGCATGAAACGCTGGTATGATAGAAAGGCCCGTGTTAGAGAATTTTCTCCCGGGGATAAGGTGCTTGTATTTTTGCCCATACCAGGTCAACCCTTGCAAGCCAGATACTTTGGTCCCTATGAAATTGAGACCAAAATTAGTGACCTCAATTACACAATCAAAACTCCTGACCGTAGGAAAAAGACTCAGCTATGTCATATAAACATGCTGAAGCCTTATGTATCTCGGCCAGATCACTCAGAGAAGAGTAATTGTGTTTTAAATACAGTCAAAAGTTGTTCAAATAGCCATGTTTCTCCTATTGATGATGATATTGTAAAGGAGAAATTTGGACAATACAAAATACCTAATTCTTTTGTATTACAGAATTTGGATGTAAAACTGTCTCATCTGTCTTCGACAGAAAGGCCAGTTATCATGAAACTCATTAATGAATTTAATGACATTTTTTCTGATGTACCAAAACAGACTAATGTTATAATGCATGATGTAGATGGCGAGGCTACTCCAGTCAAGCAGCATCCTTACAGGGTCAACCCTGAAAAACTTGCCATACTTAGGTCAGAAATCAAGTATATGCTTGAAAATGACCTCATTGAACCAAGTTCCAGTAGCTGGAGCTCCCCATGTGTCTTGATACCTAAACAGGACAAGACTTATCGTTTTTGTACAGACTACCGTAAGGTAAATGCTGTAACAAAGACCGATTCGTTTCCTATCCCTAGGATAGACGATCTCATAGATCGTATTGGTGACGCTAAGTACATCACCAAAATAGACCTACTTTCAGGTTATTGGCAGGTTCCCCTGACTGATAGGGCAAAGGAAATCTCCGCCTTTGTCACCCCTGATGGTCTGTACCAATACAAAGTGATGCCATTTGGCATGAAGAATGCTCCTGCCACTTTCCAGAGAATGATAAATGCCCTGCTTGCTGACATGGAGAATTGCCACGCATACATAGACGATGTAGTAATTTTTAGCCAAGATTTTTCTAGCCATTGTAAACAACTGCATTGTCTTTTTACTAAACTGTTACATGCAAAAATTACTGTAAACCTGAGTAAGAGTGATTTTTGCCAGGCTTCCATCCAATACTTAGGCCATATTGTAGGACAAGGCCAGGTGAAACCTGTAATGGCCAAAGTAGAAGCTATCCAAGCTTTCCCTATCCCTGCTGATCGGAAACAACTCCGAAGATTTTTGGGAATGTCTGGATATTATAGAAAATTTTGCGAAAATTTTTCTGTCATTGCCAGTCCTTTAACAAACCTCCTGAGAAAGAACGTCCGATTTACTTGGACGGATGAATGTCAGAAAGCCTTTAACCAAATTAAGCAGATATTATCTAGCTCCCCCATTTTGATGGCTCCTGACTTCGGAAAACCTTTTAGATTAGCTATTGACGCCAGTGACACAGGTGTTGGGTCAGTCCTTTACCAAGAAGATAATTTCCAAGTAGAGCACCCTATTTGTTTCTTTTCCAAGAAATTTAATAGACATCAAAGAAATTATTCTACTGTGGAAAAAGAATGTCTTGGGTTGATTCTTTCTATACAACACTTTGATTTTTATATCAGTGGGTCCAGATGGCCACTGGTTGTATTTACTGACCACAATCCCCTTACATTTATCCACAAAATGTCTGGCAAGAATCAACGACTTCTCAGGTGGAGTTTATTTTTACAAGAGTACAACCTAGATCTTAAACACATAAAAGGCAGCGAAAATGTTATCGCCGATGCCTTATCTAGATTGTAAAAAGTATTTTGATGTATATATATTTTTTTATATATATCATGATAAATACATTCTGTAATGTAAATATCATTTTTGTAATTATTCTAAAAAGATTTCCATTTCGTGGAAATGTAAACTTTTTATTTTTAGGAGGGAGGTGTTACGTATCTAGGTAACAATGCCTAGATACTATTGTTTTTTTCTTGACCTGTAGGTTGTCTGCCCCTTTGTGTAATAAGTTTTTTTTTATTTTATTCTTCAAGAGTCAAGCCACACAGACAGTGACCGGTCCTTGACCTATGTGTGTACCTCTGGTTGAAAGGAGGGTGGTTTTTTTTTCTTTTCTTCTGTCTCTTTGAAGAGCGTTCTAGATCTGGGTGTTGATGACTTTCTGTTCTAGAAATTACTAGATATCGACGCGCGGTAGATTATATAAAGACCGCTCGCGTAACGTTGACAGACAGACATACGGAGACAGCCGTGAGACAGAATAGCGGAGACATTGCGTGACCCGTGCGTGGTATACCAATTGATCGTGTAAGTTAAGATTTTTCTTTTTCAAGGCCTTGCTTGTATTTGTAATTATATTTTCAAACTCTTGTATTGTAATATTTTTACATGCCATTTTTGTAAAAGGGTTTTGGTCAACCCTTCCATTTTGTATTGAGTTATATTATGATTAAACATTAAGTTGATATTTTACCTTCCGATTTCTTGTGGCATTTTTTTTTTTTTTTTTGTTATTCATTGTAAGTCTCTGATTAAATTCAGACTTAAGATAAGTGACACAACTACCTTTTTCTATTGTCACGTTCCCCTAGGCAAGCCATTTAAAAGTAGAATTCAATTTGTAATACGTGACAATACAAAACAGTTAAATGCTAAAATGTCCTAAATAGAAGAGTTCTAGTTTTACTGTTGCTCTGTATTTTATTCTTCTAGTGTTGCTGCAACAAAAAGTCCAGTCATTTTCATTGGTACAGGAGAACACACAGATGACTTTGAACCTTTCAAAGTACAGCCTTTTGTCAGCAAATTGTTAGGTAAATGCATTTAAATTGCAGCAGTAATGGTAATATTGTCTGATCAAATAGACTAGTGATAGAAAGAAGTTGTTATTGCTAGATATGAAGTTATATTTCTATTCTAAATGTATTTCTAGGTATGGGAGATATAGAAGGTCTCATAGACAAGGTGAATGAGTTGAAATTGGATGATAATGAAGAGCTGATGAAGAAGCTCAAACATGGTGAGCCTCCCACAAATAAATAGATTTAATGTGTTAGTGTTTTTTTTTATAAAAAACACCCCTCTGTCCAACAAGGACCAAAAATAAAAAGAAACATAAAAAATCCTTTTTCAAAAACAAAAAAACAAAGCTTATCTAAAAGGTAAGAAAACTTAAAACTATATCTACCAATAATGTGCAAGCTCTCCCTTATTCAATATCAAACTAAATAATTAATTGACTAATTATATTTATTGATGTTTTGTTTTGTACAATAAATAATTGTTTACAGTATCAACTTGGTCATTGATTAAAGATTGCATGAAGGAGAAATAGCCTTAACAATTATTTAAAACCCAACAAATTTAGCCATATATGTAAATACTGAAGTATAAATTGGTAATTTTTTTTAAATTGATTCTTTTGTCAATGAATAATTGTGCAATCTGGGAGAAATAAGGTGTACATACTTTTTTTTTTTTACCAGACAGAAAGAATAAGTTGAAATAAGCTTTGTATAAATTTTACAAAAAAAAAAAAAAAAAAAAGAGAGAACTTCTTTGCTAAGCCCCATTGAGTGAGAGCCGTGAAGGCACCACCTACATGACTGTAGCTTTGACTATTGACAGCCTACACCACCAGCTCGGTCCTAGGGACCTCCCAGCTTTGGCTAGTGGCTTATGTAGGGCTGGTGACTCCATTACTGGATTGGTATCTCTACCTCTGGTCTGGGGACTTTTCCATGGGCAGTTGAAGAACAAGTCTTCAGTTTGTGGCCCCTAGAGTAGGTTCCCGAAGTTCCCGGTCAGTAAGTTAGCAATATCCCCAGCACTATATAGGGTGGGCATTTTAAAATATTCAATCAATGGTTTTGATTAATTTGTTTTATTTCAAGTAAAACAGTTGTTGAATATTTGTATATTGTATTTAAATCAGTATAGCCCTTGACTACTTCTGTTCAGGTGCAAGTTTATTAAATGTATTATTTAATCCTATGATAACTTATTTAAAAACAGAACTTATTAACACAATGATGGATTTTGTAGAACCTATGTTACCTCCCCTTAATTTACATTTTGCTATAGTGTGATTACTTCCCTTAGCATAAATTATTTTCAATTTAAGTCTGCTTCCTATTTTATGTTGTTCACTTCTAAAGAGAATATTTGTTCTACATTGGCAGGTCAGTTTACACTTAGAGACATGTATGAACAGTTTCAAAATATTATGAAAATGGGTCCATTTAGCCAGATAATGGTATGTGTATTAATATGTGTATTAAAACTATTATAGTTGATAACTTAATTATTGTCTCCTTTATGTCAGTCACTTGACTTGACAAGAACTATTGTGAAACAGTGCAACTACAAACATAAAACTGGCATGCTCTACATTAATGTTCATATCAGCTGTAAGTTTACATTGAGATTTTTAATATACAATAGAATCTTTTAAAATGTTGTTTTGTGCGCTAGGGAATGATTCCAGGTTTTAGTTCTGACTTTATGACAAAAGGAAGTGAACAAGAATCAATGGCCAGACTCAAAAAGCTGATGACTATTATGGATAGCATGAATGATCAAGGTTGGAATTAATTTAAAGATCAACATTCTCTAGTGTCATAAATCTTTGGGTTTTTTATTATTGTAAAGGAAAAACACAGAAAACCCTTGGTAGACTTTGTATTGGTAATCTGGCCTGGTAAGCTAATTTGGCTGTACCAAAAAGTTTAGCTTGAATATATGTACATTCATACAAATCTCATAAATAAACAAGGCTTTGTTCCTTATAACTTGGAGTGTCATCTAGGTCTAAAATTCTGGTGTTGTTGTGATCAACATTTATGCCATCATTTTGAGAAAGGGGATAAATAGAATTGAGAGAACTTTTTAGATTTTCACTTTGGGAAATGATAAGGTGTCTTGCACAATAAAAATGTATTAAAGTGAGGACAATTTGGGATGCATCAGACTCACTCTCTCACCCCTCCCCGTTAATTTAGATTGATAGTAGTGTACTACTAATACTAGTGTAAATATTCTTACAACTTGAAAGGAGGAATAGTCTAGTGGGTGACATCGATTTAAGAAAAGCAAAAAACTTTTTATTTTCAGACTTACTGATAGCACAAAGTAAGGGTTTGGTAAATGTGACAAAAGTCCTTTTTTTTTTCTTTACTAAATATTGTGTTTTTGTTCAAATTTTATTTTAACTACAGAAGTGACCTGTATATGATTAAAATGACCTGTATTTGATTAAAGTGACCTGTATTTGGTTAAAACACTAAGTAAACTTAAATGTATAGTCAAAATAAATTTTCATTGTATGAACTAATTTTTGCTCAATGTTTTTCTTTATCTTTAAATATTTTGATTTCACTTTACTGTGTATAGAATTAGACAGCCTTGAAGGAGAGAAACTTTTCTCTAGGTGTCCTGGTAGAGCGACCAGAGTTGCTAGAGGTGCTGGTGTCTCCATCAGAGAGGTCAATGAACTATTGACACAGTATAAGAAGTTTGCTCAAATGGTCAAGAAAATGGGTGGCATTAAAGGACTGTTTAAAGGTAGGAACATCTTTATGTTTATATTAATTAAATAACTTTAAATCTGTCAACATCGATGATATTTCACAATTTAAAAAACAAATTTTTAAAAAAAATTTTGTTTTCATTTTGTTTAGTTAGAAATGTAAAAAAAAAAAAAAAATATATTTATTTTATATATTAATTATTTATTGTATACATTGTTTGAGCTCATATAACTGTTGTTTTTTTTCTTCTCATCTGTAGGTGGCGACATGAACAGAAATGTAAATCAGGGGCAGATCACTAAACTCAACCAACAGATGGCTAAAATGATGGATCCAAGAGTTTTACAACAAATGGGTGGGTAGACATTTTTAATTTGACCATTTCTTATGAACAAGAAAGATACAGAACTGGAGACTTGTAGGCTTTTGGCTTACATTATATAATTTGATATTATCCTTTGTAGCTTGTACACTTCAATATTAATAGATCAATTTAATAAAAGACTAAAAACTCATTTGAATAGTCTTATCAAAAACTACCTGACAGAGATATAATTTCAATAACATGCAGTAGGGAATGTATTGTAAAATTATGTTTAATATATGTATGTATCATCATTTTAAAAAATCAGCATTGATTTTGAGTATAGATTTGTACTATGTTGAGGAAAATCAGAGTATTCAGGTTTTAAATGTTAAAAATAGGAATACTTGGCAAACCAAAAAAAAAATAAAAAAAAATTTAAGTATATTTGGCCTCGTGATATTCTATTTATATCTACCCACATAAGCTTTTGTTGTTTTTCTTTAGGTGGCATGCAAGGATTACAAAGTATGATGCGACAGTTTCAACAAGGTGCTACAGGCAAGTTTGGAAACATGTTTAATTTTACAGACAGATAGTTGAAAATATTGTTTCACACTTGGTTTCTATTTATGGAAGTAAACTTCTGCAAACAATTATTTCTTGGTTTATTCATTTGGTTTGGGAGTACCTATTTTGAAAGACCTGATAGCCTCAAGTTCAGAATATCTTTTTTTTTTTTATATAAACATTATATTGGAGAAGAAACAATGAACTAGGTAAATACGAAGATTTGCAATATTTAACATAATGTAGCTAATGTAAAATGTGGTCTAGCGCTACCTTCTACATGTGGAGCTTATGTTCTGATATATATAGAGTTCTTGAACTTGTCAGCAACAGTTTAAGTGTGACCAACTATTGCGTTCTTACAATTTGTAAGTGTTTTATGTGAACTTGAGTAAAAATTATTATTTTCAAATTGTAATATTATGTACAGTTGACATTGTTCTAATTTTCCAATTCTTAAGAATTCAAATAGCTGTGTTTATAGTTACCAGTTATGGGGTGTAACTTTTGAAAGATTAGATGTTAAAACAAAAATTTCAAAGCATCCAAAATATTCTACACATTGCAATAAATGAAAAAATCTTAACTTATTTTTACTTGATTTTTTTTTAACATTTATATTAAGAGTTGTCCTCCTACTAACAGTCACTGTCCATAATTAAAATCTTCATATGTGCTTTGTATTTATTCTAATAATAAATACGCATCTTCTTGCTTAACTATAGAATCAAAAAAAAAAAAAGAAGCAGTCCAACAATGTATTCAAAATAAAATTTATTCTATAAAATCATCAAATAAATAAAAATCTGGTAAACTTGAAGTAACACAACTGCCAAAATGTGAACATGGCAAGTAGCAAGTCTAATAATAGTGTCAAGGTCTAGTCCTAAACAAAGATCTAGTAAAAAAAGATCAGTGTAAATACCAATAGCATTTGTACAGATAAATAAATCAGTGTCAGTGACCATGTATAGAAATTAACTGGCTTTATTAGTGGCTGCAGTGGCTATGTCCCGCTGGTCACCTGATAGTGACATTGCCTGTACACATTCATCTGACATCTGCCAGGAAAGAAAACATGATTTGCTATTAGAATATATTAATTTGTTACACACAAAAATACACAATGAACTAATAAAATGCAACTTTTAACATGGCAAAGCCATAGCATGGTTATGTGATCTTGACGATTGCAAGATTCTTTCATTTCTATTGAATGCCTCAGTGACCAACCTGACTATATGACAAAGTAATTTTCTTTCAGTTCTAGTGTGTGCCCCAGTGACATACCTGAAGACTATATGACAGTAATTATTTAAATAAAAGAAAAAGAGTAATCTAACAAGTCAACATGGTATCAGTTATAACTTAGGTAGTTCACTAATGACCTTGTGAAATGGTGATCTCTAAAATGGGTTTACTTTCTGACCATTATGGACTTTGAGTGTACATTACTGGCCTCTAATGGGTCTTGTGGATACATCTAAAAAGCTCACTTGCTTCCAAGTTCATACTAACAATACCTTGTTGGTAGTATGCTCAGCATCAGCCTGTCCAACATACGACACCACAGGTGACAATCTACTGGATGGAGCTGTCAGCTTGGCACCAAGGGGTAAGTTATTGGGACCAATGAGAAGTGATGGAGATGGACTGACACAGGGACTGGAGCAGCGCGAGGAGCTTAGGTCAACTTGTTCCAGCAATTTCACAAGCTCTGTAGCTGATGGTCCAGACTCGTCTGAAGTGGAAGCAAATTCTTAACTTATGAGCAACTTCTATAAACAAAACTAATTCTGTACATATTTTATATACAAGACAGATTTGTTTTAGTTATGGTTTAGAAAAATTAATGCAGCATAATGTAAAATATGTTTTATATTAAACCAATTATTTGACCAGTAGCTTATATTATATCTGTTGTAATAGACCACATACATTCTTCAATAGTTGCATCACTTCATTAGGATACAGTTTCACCCAGTTAATGCCAGCGAGACACATGCCCAGGCACACAAACACTGATGCTGACTCTGGAATATCTAGACTGTACAACTCTTAATATATGAAAATGACAGCTGGGACAAGAAACATATCTCCCTCATCAGCTACATTTACTTTTAGAATACATAGTTGCATAATTTCTGTTGAAGCTGTTCTAACCCTAGTCAGCATTGAGTATGCTTAGTGTCAATGTGGGATAAGCCAAATACAGATTCAATTTAGAAACCAGCCTAAGAGCTAACTGGACAATGATCCTAAACTGATCAACATTTTCAACTTATATTAGCCATGGTGCTGTATTGTTGAAAAAAGATCTGGATTAAATAACACTACCAATTACAAAATTACAGGAATTTATTTCTATTGGTCTATAAAAAAAAAGGTATTTCGACAATCATTAGAACAGCAGTTCTCAACCTTTCATGCTCGTCGACCCCTTTTTACAATGCCCCACTCTGCCACGACACCTCTCCCCACACACACACAGCAATAGAAGAATAGATAATAACAATCCATATTTTCGATGGTCTTAGGCGACCCCTGGCAAATCGTCAATCGCAAAGGGGGTCGTGACCCACAGGTTGAGAACCTCTGCAATAGAAGCTCAAAACTAAAGGTATAATACTAAGAGTATCACAATCCTCAAATAGTATCCCAGTCCTCAAAGAGTATCCCAGTCCACTATGAGTATCCCAATCCTTAAAGAGTATCACAGTCCTCAAAGAGTATCACAATCCTCAAAGAGTATCACAATCCTCAAAGAGTATCACAATCCTCAAAGAGTATCACAATCCTCAAAGAGTATCACAATCCTCAAAGAGTATCACAATCCTCAAAGAGTATCACAATCCTCAAAGAGTATCACAATCCTCAAAGAGTATCACAATCCTCAAAGAGTATCACAATCCTCAAAGAGTATCACAGTCCTCAAAGAGTATCACAGTCCACAATGAGTATCCCAGTCCTCATAAAGTCTGGCATAATCAATAGTCATTGCAATGAAAACATTACCTTTCTGAGTTTCATTGTCTGTTACTGGCAAATATTTTAAACACATTTTTTGTGTAACTCTACTCTAACAAATGTTAGTTACTTAAAGTAATTTGTAACAAACCTGAATGATACAATAGAGGCTTGCTGACATGCAAATTATTGTTTAATTAATTATTATTTCATTATTAATGTAAGACAATGTTTTATAGTTGACCCATACATACACAATGTCCCACTCCTTTCAACAAAATTTTAAACAAAATAAATATGCATTTAACACTTTTTTTTTTGTAATTCTATTGAAAACTGAATAACTCAATAAAATGTAGCATTTTTGTTAAGAAGCTGATCTCAAATATAATAAAGAAGTAAAACAAGATTTGAGTTTTTGCAAAACATTCATTTAAAAAAAAACATTTTACCTTTATTGCCTTGTTTGTACAAATCTAAAGCTGTGGTCAGATCCCACATCTTTAAGATAGAATACAAAAAGAAAGCTTGTTGTTTATAAATATATATATATTATAATAATAATAATTATAGCTTTTATGTAGCGCTACTTTCATGCTTATAGCATGCTCAGAGCGCTATGGTCCAATCTCATTTGTGGACCAGTGGGAGGGGGTATCTGGGTGAAGGTTTTCCCTGCTGCCTGTAGGCGCTCTGTAAACAACTCTGCTCGAGTCAGGTGTCGAACCTCGAGCCCCCTTCATAGGTACCCAAGACAAGCCAAGTTCAAGCATACTTAGCCTCTCGACTACGCTTCCCAATCATGCCTATAAATGTTGAGTAGCTATAACAAAACAATGGTTTTACATCCTTAACTTTGTACACCTCAAGACTAGTCAACAGTTTCACTCAATAGGTTCAAAACCTGCATGTTTCCACTCATACAATTAAGGTTATTAAAACTAATATTTCTATATATTTACTTTCTAGCACTGACTAACAATGTATAAAACTTTGCTACAAACATCTGTCATTTAAATACATCCCTCTAAACTGCCCAGTACATACGTAGAGATAGAAAATCTAAAATGGTTTAGCTATCAATCTATTTAAACTGTACTTAGCAAATCTGGTAGTAGTAAAGAGCAGTGAGAATGATTGATGACAAGTTGATTACTTAACATGTGCTAAGACAATTACAATAAACAACCCAGCTAAGGCTGAGGAACCCACTAGTTCACTAGACTATACTTGTGTTGTATTAGCCAGAAGCAGGAGTTTCGAAATAGAAGTGGGTGCTTAGATTATGCCTTCTTATAAATTTAGGATTTTTGGATCATTCCATCAGCTAATAAAAGTAAGATATGTTAGTACATTTGTTTGTTTTTGGTTAAAATGAGAAATAAATTTCATTCAAACAAATTGTAACTTCCTTTTACTAGACTACTTGCCAAAAATGAACATCTTGCTTCAGTCCTATACTTTGTTTACCTGCACACTGCCATTATTATGTCCTGTAAACAGATAACGTCGTGGGCACGAACCCATTCTGTTGGAGCCCTCACATTCATGGACGCAAAAGGAACTGATGGTACTGCCATCTACAGCCTTTATCAAGCAGATCCTGTTCAAAATTGAAATTCCAATATTTTAACTCTAACATTCCAAGTATAAAAGGCTTAATAAACTGCAACCCAGGTATGTCTCTGATTGACCAACCTTTTGCCAGTGGCACTCTGTCTGATAAACAACTGGTCTGTATTGGAAACAACTTTCTGTACAAACAACTGCTGGTCATCTTGTTCACCAAATGGACCTTTGAAGTTTGGAAAAATGAATTACCAAAATGTCAGAAACAAAAAGATGATTTTTCTCAAATGTTAACATGCTATGTAAAAAAAAAATCATATGATTAAAACAAATATGCAGAAATAAAGTATAGGAAACTTTTATCATTTACTATATCCCACACAAAAAAAACAACTTACCAAAATCATTTCCAGCAGAATAACTAACCAAGGAATCCAAATCATCAAGAGAAACAATTTTAAAAGATGCTAGCGGCGTAGACCCTGGTTGTGTAGAGATCATTCCACGGAATCTGGTGACATTCCAAGTCCTGACATGATTGTATTCTGAACACACTGGGCAAAGAGAAACATTAATAAACATTGAGTCACTTAGATCTATGTTGACCATTCCTACAAATGTTTGTGACTTCATACTTTTTACACAAAGATTTCAACAAAGAAAAAACGTATTGTACCTGAAACTAAATGTTTCTCAGACAACATTACTTTGGTGACAGGAGTGCGGTGCACTGTGAAAGTCTGGAACAGCTGAGGTCCATGTCCAACTGTCTCTGGATGTTGGACTATAACTCTTACTGTCCCAGAACTTGTGCCATATGCTATTTCTATCCAGTTGCCGCTTAAACCTAGAAAATATTTTTTTTATTATGAACACTAAACCAAAATAGGGATCAAAGCAGTCTTAAGCACAATTTTTTGTATAGAGGGAGTAAAAACTAAAATGTCCATTTTTGAAATTCTGAAACTCTCCACTTTAAAAGTATTCTATGCATTCCTGTTTTAGTATTTTACAAACTCATGCACAGAGAATATAGATTCAATGATATAAAGTAATGAATAATGGAAAAGTTTTAAGATAATTTTTCTAATAGTTACTTTTCTATTACGTTACTATATAAAAACAAGATTTATGCCTAATGAAGAAACTACTGTACATTTTATTGTCACTTACTAGTCTTGGGAGTCAGATAAACACTGAGAGCCGTCACCATGTCACAGGCTGGATCACTGTATAACTGGGTCACTAACAAATCATTATCTTTCATCCTCAAAGGAAATTTTTGCATATCTAAGTAAAAAAGCATGTTTTGTGTGTTACAAATGACCTCATGATATAATTTTTTTGTTAGAAGTTTATCTGTAATCATCCCTAAATAAATCATGCTGCTGCAATATGAGAATAATCAAATGCAAATAGTTATAAAATCAAATAGGCAGACATTGAGAAAGGATTTAAAAAAAAAAAAAAAGCTTCTAAAAGATGTAGCTCTTCTTTTTAAGAAAAAAAAATTCATTTCAAAGTCATTTTGATCTAAAAAATTGAACTACTTGCCTATATAATAAATAGAGCCATCCTCACAGCCAAGTAAAAGAAAAGACCCTGCAGTGTCATAACTTGTTATGGGCACAACATCTTGAATCTGTAACAAGAAATATTAAACAGTTTATACATATATACAAACAAGTATATTCCGGTACATAGAAAAAAAG